TTCCTTCTGCTCAAATAGTTTCCCTTCTGGCTCTCTGCAGGGACTAGCACGCGTCCTCATCTCCCTGTGCACCCTAGGGCAGGCCTTTGACCCTTCCTAGTAGTCCTCAGGCTTCCAGGCCTGGGATCTGGTGGGGACACTGAGGCTGTCTCCCTGTCTCAGTTTCTGGGTTCCCAAATACCACTGCTCCCAAATCCCCTACCTCAGAACACTGGCGGCTGCTCCTCCACCTCCTCCCCCTTGCCCGAGGGCCCATGGCTTCGCAGCGGAGAGTGTGCTGGGGACAAGGTGAGGGCATCTGGGCACCTTTCTAGAGGTGCTGCAGTCACCCTTTCTCATCTCCCACTGCACTTGCTACCCCCTCCCTGTTTGAGGCCATGGGGGTTCTGATGGTTAAGTGGGTGCCAGCTTCATTCAGCTTCTGGCAGGCTGAGTGAGGGGGTTTCCTGACTCCTGGGACTCTCTTTAATTTCGGGGGGCGGGGATCATGTTCCATCAGCCCCTAATAAAGAGCTTCAAGCTACTCAGAAAATCTAAGAATCCTGATTTCCAGAAAGCCAAGCTGTGTTGGGGAGATAAGCCTAGGGAGGCCAGAGGCAGGGGGCAGGGCCCCAGGAATGACCACACAAGGGACCCCAAAAGGCACAGTGGAGATGAAGGGTGGAGTTCTCACCTCTCTGGGAAGGGAATGCTGCTATGAGGGGCCTCCCCTCCACCCTCCCACTCCTCTGAGACCTGCCTGGGAGCACTCAGTGCTTCTTCGCCTCCATAGGTTTCCTTCTGCTAAAACAGTTGCCCTTCCAGCTCTCTGCTGGGCAAAGTCCACGTCATCTCTTCCCTCTTTCAAAGACACTTCTGCTCCACCGGTTAGCAGTCTCATGGGCTCCTTGTCCATTCAACATTCACAGTGTCCCATGTGCCAGGCAGTGTTCCAGGTGCTGGTCCCTGTCCTGGGATACCAGGTCTGGTGAGTGGCCTCTGCATGGGTTGTACACTTCAGAAATGAAAGAAGCAGCTCCTAGCACCTAGCATGGTGCCCTGTTCAGATCAGCAGCCATTCTTCAAGTACCTGCTCTGGCCAATGGAGATCTCGGAGCCTCCTTCCTGCAACTCCAACAGGTGGTACAGGGAGATTGAGCACGGGAAATAGAAGGGCTGAGAGTTGTTCTGACCTACTTGGAAGGAAACTGGGCTTTTATTTTATTTATTTATTTTTTTAACAACCTTGGAAAAAACAAACAAACAAACAAACAAAAAACCTTGGGACACAGTGGATCTCTTTATGGGGCTCCCCATGAGTTGGAAAGAGAGAGATTGATCTGAAGGTTGGGCCAGCAGGAGTGTGCAGAGGCTTGTCCTAAGGGGAGTATGAACTTCTGCAAGAGAAAATTACGAGGCCTGAAAGGCATGGGAGGTAGGTCAATGGGTGCCACCCCCTGTGGGGCCCACACACTTAGTGGGCAGAGCACCTCCCACACCACTGATCTGGGGTGGCTGGCCTATCCACCACCCCTGGCCCGAAGGGCCTTGAGTATGAGTTGTCACATCTGGCACAGGTCTGGGGTGAGTGAACACACAGTAAACGTTTCCTGAATTTGGGGAGCAAATGAGCACTCTCCTGCTCTGGGGGAAGGGCGATGCACTGAGCTTTGGTGAGCATCTTCTATGGGCAGAGCAGTCAGAGCCATGCTTCCAAGACATTTGTCAGATCATGTTTCACTGCTGCTCAGAACCTCCCCTCCCTGCCTCCCAACCACCCCCTGGCTCCCTCCAGTATCTCTGAGCAAAAGCAAAATCCTTGGGATGACAGACGAGGCCCAGCAGAGGACGCTGGCTGCCTCTCTCTGCCTTTTCCTTTTTTCTCCAATGTTCACCCAAGTCCTCAGGCAGGGCTACGGCCATGCTCTTCCCACTGGAACCCCAGGTGTCCCCAGCACCACCCCCCACTTGCTTCTTGGTGTTTCCCTGAAATGCCATGATCTCATGAGACCCACCCTGGTCATCCCCCATGTCTCACCCATGTCCCCTGCTCTACTTTTTTTTTTTAATAATAGCCTTTATCACTTTGTAACTCACTACAAAATGTGCTTTTTATATGTGTTGTTTAGTGTCTGTCTTTTCACATGAGAATGTGGCCTCCCTCAGGGCATGGATTTTTATGTTTTATTCACTTCTGCATTTCTAGTGCCTAGAGCAGTGTCTGGCACATAGTAGGTGCTCAGTGGATGCACCTGCGTCCTCACCCTACTTCACCTCCCTCAGCATCTTGGGGAAGCTTCCCCAGGGCTCCTGCCCACCTTGCTCTCTCCCCTGCATGCCCCAGAGCTGCCAAGTGTGGATGCTAAGGAGGGGTCCCTCCGTGCTCTGCTGGTGGTCTGGGCCTGGAGCTGCTGAATACCCTGTTCACAGAGCCCCTGGGACTGGCGTTTTCCTTGACAACGAGGCTCAGAGGACAAGGATATCGAGGAAGAGATCTAGATTCTTCTCCTCTAGATCAAAGAGGAGAGGGATGTTGTTCGCTCTCAGCTTCTTGGATTGATCTAGCATTTATAGGCTGGGACAGAACACATCCATTTCAGAAAATAAATACTCTAATTGACTATTAACGAGATGGCCACGGGAAGCCATGTGCCCCGATGGACTCTGACAGCCCTGGCCAGGAGCCAGGCCACTTGGATCTGTTCCTACACAGGCGGGGCTAGGCTGTGGGGCCCCAGTGAATGTTGCTCCCCACCTATGCTGCCTGCCACTACACCAGGCACCCTGAGATTCCTTCAAGCTCCTGGGCCACAGGAAGCTGTGCCCTTATGGGAGGGAGGGAGGCTGAGAGTGGGGTGGAGGATGCTGAGGGCAATTCAGGCAAATCTAAAGCTGAGGCTGGCAGGACAATGGGCCTGTTTTGTGCTGGGGAGGCAAGCTGGCAAAGGGGAGCTTGAGTCTGGGGTTTAAACTTACAGACTCTGCCTCCCATGGAACATTGCTGCGAGCCAACAGTGTGCGCTGTAAGGTGTGACCTATGAGGCACTGGAACACCATCCCTGGCCACACACCATGCCTCCATGCCCAAGTTTGGTGCTCTTCTGTGGCATTAGATTTCCCTCTTCTGGTCTTCTGAAATGTGAGCTCTCCAGAGAGGAGAAACTCTCTGAAGTCAGTGTAATGGGAATTGACATATACAGACAGAAGGAGGCTTAATGGAGGAGCTTCAAAGGTAAGTGCTGAAAGGGGAGGGGGGCCAGAGAACTATGGTGGGGTAGGCAGGACTAGCCTTGTGTCTAAGGGACCACAGAGTAGGTGCTTAGTAAACTAAGCCCACCATCTTGGCCATGACTAACAGGAGCCTAGGGAAATTGGCCTAGCATGTCCAGGAAGCATTTGCTGGGCTCAGGAGCAGATTCTCCTTGTTTGTGATAACATCGGAATGCACTAGGGCCAACTTAAGAAGTCTGGGCCTAAGCCCTGTGCTGCTCCGAAGGCGGTACACACAGTGGCCTGGGGGGCTTTTAGAATTACAGAGTGACAGGCTGCTACAGCCTCCTAAATCAGAAGTGCATTTTATTTGGTTTTCTCTAGCTTCACGTACTCTTTTCATAATAGAGTTGTGTACATACATGAGAGTGGGAGAGAGAGAAGCACCCTTGGCAAGGTCATCACACTGTGATTCCCTTTCCTCCAGCTCTCCAGCTCATCAAGATCTTGGTGGCTTCCAGGATGCATCTCGGCTGGGCCCAGCACCACTTTTTAACAAGACTCCCTAGGAGACTGCATGCATGTTAAGGTTTGAGAAGAACAGGTCTACAGTGCAGCTGGGGAAACTGACAAGGCCTCGAACACCTGGGTCAAGTCAGATGACAGAAACCTATGACAGGACAACACTCTCCACTAGGTTATGCTTCAGTATCATAGTCTGCTTTCTCTTCCAGCCAAAGAGCCTATTTAATCTGCTCCTGAATTTCTATAAATACGGAGTAAATGACTCTTCTTTTACAACACTCAGTGCCTATCACACAAAGCTCCAAGATAAAAATATAAGACTGGAATGCTAACTCCTTGTAATTTTGCCAGAGGGTGTGTGCACTCACTGGAGGGAGAAAGGGAGAGCGTGAGAGAGGAAGAGAGGGAGAGAGTGAGAAAGCTCCTCCCATGGGGGATGGTCATACTGCTGTCCATTCTCCATTTCTCCTTTCAGGATTTTGGACAGACTTACACAGTTGGGTACGTGAGATGCAGCTGCCGTAAGCACTGCGTTATCTGCTGGCCTGCTAATTGCTTTCTAATAACCAGTCACATTTCCCACTTTACTGTGGTGGCTAGGATACTCAGACCCATGTTCACAACTATATTATCCTTGTTAAACATGTTTAAATTCTACTTTTCTTTCTTTCTTTTTAATTTGCTATAGAGTTTGTGTGCTCACTGGAGAGAGACATAGAAAGAAAGAGGGGAAAAGTGAGAAATCACCCCCCAGGAAGAGTGGCCACGCCCCAATCCCGTCTCCTCCATTCTCCTCTCAGGGTTTGGGGCATGCACACACATGCACCCAGTGTGATTTTGAAGCCACCAGGTCCAGGACTCAAACCGTGCAGTCAGCCACATGGATTCCAGTTGCCTTAACCACCATGTCCCCATATGACCAGATGGCCCAAAGTTCGACTTTTCTTTTTCCCCAGTTCATGATTTTTTCTATGTCTGCTTTGCTATCTGGCTTATTGTTGAGTTTCCCATTGCAAACCGTCCCATGTTGCCTCTGGGAAAAGCCACACATGTGAGCAACATAAATAGGAGACGTCCTTTCTCCTTGACTGTCATGTTTATGGCACAACCTTTGCTGGATTTTGGAAAAGACCAGAGAGATTGGGAGACAGATGCTCCTCGGGACTTCTGTCAGGAGTTACTGAGAAAGGAAAACTTAAACTTGGGGGTCATCCAGGGAGAAATCGTCACAAATGCTTACTCTGTGTCCCTCCCTGCTTCCCACCTCCCTTCCGAACTTTTCTCACCTGATCTGGGGCTCAGGGTGTTGTCCTCTGTGTCAGGAGACCTTTCACAGCCTGGGGCAGGGACTGTGGGGCAGGGGCCCTGGGCACCAGGAGCCCCACCTGCCATTATTCCTGTGCTGTTCCTTCCACTGCCGAGACCACTGGGCTGGGTGGCTGGAGCTCTCTCGGCAGTGTGAGTGGTGAAGATAGTGTGGACTGAGGCTCAGGAGCACACAGGTCACAGCCTAGTCCGGAAGGGGCGGGACTTACAGGTCACTGGTCTCAGGGTCATCTGCAAACACTGTGGCCAGTAGTGGAAATGAGCCCTCCTTCTGGGGTTGGGCGTGTGTTTTCAACCAGTCCACTTCTCTGAGAAGGACAAGGGAAGACGAGCTGAGCTTGGGTAAGCTCTGTGCCACTTTGAGGCTCCCCCTGATTCCCCACTGAAATGCTGCAAAACAAGTGGGATCAGTCCCATTTGCGGGTAAGCAGGGTGACTTGCTCAGCACCCTGCAGTGAGGAGTGGCAGAGCTGGCATTTGTATCAGGGCTGCCTGGCTCCCAGACCTTTCGCTACCTCTGCCTCCTTAGGTGGAGGGCTTCTTTGGGCAGTTACCTACACTTTTGGTGACTCCTTTAGTGCCGAGGACTGGGGCCAGCAGGTTGTGAGGGCCCAGCCGGAGCAGTCCCCACAGTGTGACTAGAGGGGGATGAATGGAGGGCTTCTCTTCCCAGAACTCCTTGCAGCGTGCCTCTGTGAGATCTCAGCTCCGTCCCCAGCCACTCAACAGGTCAACAGCTCCATGAGGTATGTACAGTCAGGAAGTAGGTCTGTGGCGTGTCAGGTAAGTCACAGGGAGTCCGGTCCTTTTTGGCTTATGGTTTGATCTCATGGACACATACACTGAGAGCCGTCATCTCAGAGCCAGTGTCAGACATTTACTGTGAGAGAAGCCAAGCGACAATGGCCCAAGGCCTGCCCTGTGTGCCAAGGGCCCAGCCACAGCCCACCAAGGAAGGAGAGAGACATCCACAGGGCAAAGAAATATGCACAGGCTTTGGAGCGTATTGACCTGGGTTCAAATTTGGCCTCTCCACTAAGCTGTGGTTTCCTCCCCTGCAAAATAGGCAGGTATATTTCTCCTCAGCTAGTTGTGACTGTTAAATAAGAAATTGCCAGGAAAGTGCCTGGCATCTACATAGTAGGTTTTCATTAAAACCTACTTCACTGGGGCCAGCAGGGGGCATGGTAGTTAAGGTCCTGGGCTCCCATATGACCAACTGCAGTTTGAGTCCTGGACCTAGAGGCTTGCTTTCTAACTTTTCCTCTCTTTCTCTCTCTCTCTGATGAGAACATGTGCCCTGTAGCAAATTTTAAAAAATTATAAATAAAGTGAGATAAATAATTATTTAAAAAGATATATATTTTTAAAAAAATACCCTACTTGATTAGAAGGCAATAGGGTGGTGCAGAATGGGCGGACAGTGGTGCAGTGGTAAAATGTGATGCTTACTTGGAATAATGGCAGGTGGGTCTCCTGGTGACCAGGACCCCTGCCCCACAGTCCCTGCCCCAGGCTGTGAAAGGTCTCCTGATACAGAGGACAACGCCCTGAGCCCCAGATCAGGTGAGAAAAGTTCTGAAGGGAGGGTGCCAGGTTCACATCCCTGAGTGCTAGATACATGTTTGCCATGGTCTGGGGTTCTGACGCTGAGGGTGAATCATAGCATCACTATCTCGTTAAGGTGCTTTCTCTGTCTCTCTTACCCATGGAACAGATGAATAAACTTAAAAACAAGCAAACAAAAAAAACCCAGAAGGCAGTCAGATCATCTGAGAAGAAGAGGTATTCTTCAGAGACATGAAGGCTGACTAGTAAGAAAGCTACTTTGAGGAAACACCCCTGCAGGTAGAGCCCTCTTCTCTCCTTAGAAAAAAGCCTTTACCAGCAGTTAGCATAATGGTTATGTTGCTGGACTCCCACGTAGTTAACCACAGTTTGAGTCTCAGACCCGGTGGCTTGAACTCACGCCGGGCGCGTGTGCATGCGTGCCCAAGATCTCGAGAGGAGAATGGAGGAGAAGGGATTGCAGCCTGGTAAACAAAAAAAAAAAAAAAAAAAAAAAGAAAAGAAAAAAGAAAAAAAGAAAAAAAAAAAGAAACTCTCCAAAAAGAAAAAAAAAAGTCTTTATCTTGCATGATTATCCAAACCCTGCCCAGGTAAAGAACTCCAGGTGGGAAATGGATTCCAGGTTCTCGCCTGCCTTCTCTTTCCATCCCACATGATCTATGGGCACTGTGGATGCCCTGGTCTGAGAACCAGGAATCCTGGCCAAGCCTCCGAAGAAGGCTTGCGGACTCTTAGCTCGCTTCTCGTGCCTCCCTCTTGTGCCAGCTCCAGGTGCCTGAGATCCTAGTGTTTGAAACTCCCGCCTTTGCCCGCCATTGCCTTTCGAGTTGTCAGGGAAGGGGACAGCGGTGGGTGAAAGGCATTGCAGGAGATGGGCTGGGGAGGGAGGGGCACATGAGGAGCCACCAGGCTTGCTTAGGTGACAAGGGAGGCTTTAGGATGCTGGCAGTGGGCACGCGTTTTGGAGGACTTGCTACATATCAGATACTGTTCTAAGTATTCTAACTGTGTCAACTCATTTCATCTTCAGTATCTTGTCCCCATTTCCAAGCAGGGAGACTGAGGCATAAAGAGGTTAAGTCACCTACCTGACGTGACATAACTCAAAATGTAGTAGAGCCAGAATTCAAACCCACGGGTCTTTCTTAGCTGCTAGCTACCTCCAAATTCCAGGTACCCAGATGCCTTTCTCCACTTCAGAAGAGCCTCTTGCCCTGGCAGCTGTGAGGAGAGTGGATCAAAAGGGAAGATAAGTGCCCAGGATGGGCTTAATGGGCAGCTGGCAGGCAGTCTCTGGGCTAGTAGTCTTTGAAGTCTACTTAGGGGACACAGTAAGTCTTATGGGTTGGGAGCCCATTACCCAGGCCAGGGGCTCCACATTTAATCAGAGTTCAAAACCACTATCCACAGGAGGCCTTGGCTGGGAGGGAAAGGCTGCAGAAAGGTGGGTTAGCCAACGATGTATCTATCCCCTGCTCGCCAAGTCCAGGGAGAGAAATGACTGTAAGACCTGTGGCCCACCCACTGACTGACAGCTAGAAAGAACAGGTGCCTTTGGACGTTATAAGGATCTAGTTGAAATCTTGAGCTTCAGTGTCCTGTAAAGTGGGGGTGGTAGCACCCCAGAAGTAAACCAAGAGCAGATGGTATGATGTGGCCTTGAACATTCCCTGCCTCCCCTCACCTAGACTCTCTTGGGTCCCTGTCCTTCTCCTCCACAATCAATTCCCTGGTTCCAGGAGCCTGGGGAGACAGGAGAATGCCAAGAACCAGGATACCCACTGCTCCTCGGCCCAGCCCCAGCTGGGGGCTCGATTTGGAGCTTCAAGGCCCAGTCCTGGCTCTCCTTTGGTCTCATACTCTTTCCTGCAGCCCCAGAAAACCTTGCTCTGGGGAGAAAGGAAAAGGGGGAACTCTTCTCTTCCCTAAGCCAAGGTGGCTAGTCTGATTCATTTGGGAACACTAGCTCCTCTGGGTTATGGTTTTTGCTCTCCTGTAGCCTCTGTGAACTTGGCTGAGACCCAAGTATCAGTTTCAAGTTTGAGCCTCAGTTTTCTTAGATAGAAATGAAGACATAGTCCAAGGGTGGGACTTCAGGTCCTACCCACCCCAAGCCAGGGCAGGGCTGCTCAGTCCTGGTGTGTAGGTGAGGTCAGGTTGGACACCCCTGGTGTCAGGTTCTAGTCTGACTAAATTAGGACCCTGCCTTCCCCAATTAATGGGAATTGCTGATGGTAGCTCCCAAAGGCACTAGGTGATAGCCCCACACTGGGGATTTGGGGCAGCTGGGCAGTCCCAGAGGAGACATCTGTTGGGAGTTTGGTCTTGAAGCCCAGGAGGACACATCTCTGCTGGTGCCCCTTCCTGGAATGCAGAGCTGCCTGGATGCAATAATAGGCTGTGAGCTGCACTTGGAATATGCTTATGCAGATTTATGCAAATTACACGCAAATGAAGCTGGCCTCAGGCTGGGTTCCCTGGGATGGCAGCTGTTTGAGGATAGTCTCCCCCCATTTATACTTCTCACTTTGCTTTTAGTCTCTGAGGACTTCACAGGGAAAGGTCCACCACCTTTATTCCACAAGGCCCCTCTTCTCAGCAGGCTTCAGCGGGAGAATACAAGCACTACAGGGAGCCTGCTGTGGGTAGTCCCACTGTGCAGGACGACACCTGGGCACTGAGGGGATGCCAGGGAGGAAGGTTCCAGGCACGTACACAGGCTTTGCCCAGACTGCCTGCTTCAGGGAAATGTCCTTACTCAATAGAAAAGGACGCTGGGGCCTGGGGAGGTGCAGTGAGTTTCCCTGTTGCAGCCAGAGGTGGCAGCACTAGAACCTTGCCCCAGGCTGCCTGATGGGTTCCATGCTGCCTTTGCCATGCTGCTGCCTACAATGCTGAGCTGGCGACCTAGCAGATAGTGTTCCCAGTGTGTATACCTGTGGGTGTCAGGTCTCCTGGAGCCTCTAGACCTCTCCAGTATTCCTCCTGGCCCTGCAGAAGTTCAAATCCACTTAACATGGTAGCCCTGGGGATCTCTGTATTCCCAAACCTGGTGCTTGGCCCAGTAACTGTTTTTCTGAATGCATGAAATCTTATCTGTAAGGTAGAAACTTTTTTTTTTTTTTTGAGAGATTTTTTTGCTAGAGGGTGCGTGCGCTCGCCAGACAGACAGAGAGAGACATAGAGACAGAAAGCGCGAAATCACCCTCCCAGGGGGGATGGTCACGCCGCAATCCCTTCTCCTCCATTCTCCTCTCGGGATCTTGGGCACGCACGCACACGCGCCCGGCATGAGTTTTAAGCCACCAGGTCCGGGACGCGAAACACGGTTGACTACGTGGGAGTCCAGCAACATAGCCATTATGCTAACTGCTGATTCCCGTGAAATCTTATCTGTAAGGTACTTCATATCTACTTCAGCTACTGAGAGTTTTCATCACTCTTTTCTTAAGCCAGCCTTGTCTAGGGAAGACCAGACTCTGGTGACTGGGGTGGGGCTTTCTTGCTATAAAGAATGACTGTTCTTTTGGACAGTCATCTGGGACAAGTTAATTCAGGGGTGGGGAGTTACGGGAGCCTTAGACCTAGGAAGGAAGGTCCCTGTTGAGTCTA